TACTTAAATATTTCTTGCACAGTGAAAAGTCTTGAAACATACACATACTAAATGTACATATAAGTATATGTAGATCGGTAATTAATTGAATTTTGGCAAGAAAGATTATATTTTTAGTTAAGTACTTGGTAATTATTGCATTTTTGCCTTCATAAAAGTTCAATGAATCTAAAATAGTCAAATAAATAAGTGACAATTACGTACTTAATTTCTATTAGCAATAAATTATAATTTTAGTAAATTTGAATGAAAATAAGAGAGAAAGGAAATAAAACAGATCAGAGAGAGATTTGAACAAAAATAAGAGAAAATATTCTCCTCATTTTTCCTCTCGGAATGATTTAAAAATCTCGGAAAGATTGTAAAAATTTGAAAATTTTAAAAACTAGCGTTTGCTCATAATTTAAAATCTTTTTGCCCACAAAATTTACGAGTCCATTTAAAAGAGCATGGAATTTTTCTCAAAAATTTCCCGAAATATGCTAAAAAATTGGTAAGGTATGTAATGTGGTGTATAATGTAAGTTGATTGTTGTGTATAATGTATGTTGATATTAGAAGTAAAATATTATCAAAATATTATCAAACTAAACTTCTATATTCTTACAAATATGGGAACACCTATACATGCATACATACCTGTTTTACAAACGCATACATATGTATTTTCGTACATATATTTTTGTATTTTTGTATATATGTAACTCATATATGTATATTATCAACGGGGTGCGAAAATTTCCATTTGGGTTTTTCATTTTTCACTTTTCTTTTCTTCGTAATGCACTGTTAGTGGTTTTTTAATTGATATTAATTAACTGATTCAAATAAAAATGGGAAAATTTTATTTATAGTATACCATTTATCGTTTTTTATTTCTATAATTCTATACACATGCATACGTACATCAATAAGTGAAATGTATATTAAATATGCATACACATATTCCGATTATAGCGTTTGCGTTTTGTGTCCCCATATATAAATAATGTATAATGTGTCCACAAACAATTGTAATAAAAACAGGTTGTAAAAATAATTTTTATAACATAAGATACATATGGGCATACATATAAACCTGCATATTTGTATGTCAATATGGTTTTTCAACACATTATGACACTATTTAAATATAAAATGTATATATACATTTTAGATACAATATTATAGGGTATAGTGAGGCAATATACAGTAAATCTATGTGTATATCACATTAAATATAAAGAAGAAGAATTTTACAAAAATAGCTCTAGATAAAGAAAATAATATTTTGTAAAATCGAATCCATGGATGTGATCAACGTATGTAGGTATAGGAGTATGCTATGAGTGTGATATAAATATAATGACAGTAGTAATAATCAAAACAAGAAGAGAACAACGGCAAGAAATATAATCAACTTAATTTGTTTTACAATAAAAAGTAGAAAGATGACAACATTGCTAGCGGCCTAATATCTATTTCATATTTACATAATAATTCACATTACATATGTTAATATGTAAGTGCCTAAAAGTGTCTATAGTTATTGAATATGGACCATGTTTACATATACGTATACATATATTTGCAAGTGTTTTACGTTTCACCGTTACAAAAAGCATGGAATTATTATTTTGCATGATTGTAAAATAAATTTAAATAATTTTTAAAAATTTAAATTGGTTTTTGTTGTTCATACTCACATACATACAGACATATGTATGTACACACTTACTTACTTATGTATATTTAACCGAATAGTTTTCAAGCATTTTCTTAAATGCTATTGGACATAAGATATTTGACTTGATTTCATTAATTTCTTGCCAATCCAATAATTAAAGAAAAGAATTAGGAGAAATATAGTAACTAAAGAAAAATGGAATAAAAATGTTCCTTTCGAAAAATTACAAATTTACGGGTATTACAAACAGCATCAGTTAAAATTTGTGTTAATGACTTTCAGGTTAAATATTTACAACTAATTTCAAATCATACGCTGTCATACTATAAATTTTAGTATGTAAATGCTAAACTGTTAAAGCAATTTATCTTTAAAAGTGTATTTACAATGTTACAGGAAATCTTTGTTAACATTCAAGCCCCAACACTATAATGACTCAAAAATTTTTTTAAATTTTCAATTAAAAACAAAATATGAGCAATTTTGCGGGAACTAGAATTTTTTTTTGAGACAAAATCATGTCTGACCCTGCACTTTCTTTTCATAAAAACCAAAAGTAAAGTGCGATTTTTCTGCTTCTTTATTCTTTAATGCCTTGTTTTTTTTTATTCTTTTTAATGTTTCAGTAAATTTATTATCGTTGCATTCACTGCATCATTTACTTTTAATGACGTTGCTTGACTGACATTGTCAAGACAGGTGGAGATCACATAATATTAACATTTATTCTAATATTTTAACATATTTACGCACGTTTTCCGTGTTCGAAATTTAAAAATAAGTTTCCCCCTTTTTTATGTTTTATATTCATACATACACATGTAAGCACATTCATATATTCATGCACATGTACATTACAAATGTTTGTTCTAATATAGAATTAGTATGGTGAATTATTGGTGAGTTTTAATTATTAACGCCGTTTCGGAAATACAATTGTGCCTTTGCGTCTTCTGTTATTCAATTTTATTGGCCTATTCAAACAATCATTCAAACAAAATAATTTTTTGCCGGCTAACACATAAAATATGTTTCTGTGATTCGGATAGTGAAGTTCGGTTCGTTTTTCTTTTCCATTACACAAAATCCAAGGATGTAGCCATTTGAAGCTTTCATAAATCCTAATTGATTCAAACACAATGTTCGATGAATGAATTTCCCTTTCTACCACTTCTTACCACTTCTTTGAATATTCCTCAAATGCTATATTAATTTCAGTGAAATTTTGAACATAAAGAAAAACACGTGGACGTTTAGAAATTTTAACCAAACTCGTTTTTCATAGTGAATTTTTTAATTCAAACTTAAATCAGGTTCTTTTTTTGCTTTGTTTTTCAGTCAGAAGATGTATGTAAATGTAGGTATGTTCCCATTTCATCTAAATTCCCTAGGAAAAAATTAAAAACCAATTAAAAGCAAAACATCAAAAATACAAAATTCTCAAATAAAAATTTTATTCAACAGTCACGGATTTTAAAATTTATTTCACAAAATATCAGCTTTTATACCTCAACTCACAGAACAAACAAACATTGTCAATTACAGATATAAAAATTGAATAACTGTGTTGTAAATATGTGAGTATACATACATACGTTTAGGTGTGTGCATCTGTATAGATAGTTATTTTCCAATAGTTCTAAGAAATTAAAACTATAATAACAAAAATACCGTATTAAATCGCCATATTCTTATAAAAAAAAATATAAAAAACCATTAACTCTTAATAATCTTACATGATAATTTAAAAAATTGAATAGAAGAAAACTAAGAAAAAATTATACAACACCGTTAACTACTCAAATATACATAAATGTATATATGTATGTATATGTAAATGATTTTGTATGTTTGTGTAAATAAAGAAATAGCCATCGAACAAAGAATTTTGTTACACACATTATTTTCTTGAAATGGAACTGTCATTTAACATATACTTCACAGACATCTTTATTCTCTAAACATTATAGGAGTTTATGTACACACTTACACAACAATCATACAAACATGTCCGAATTCACATGTCCCGCAACAACACATTTGAATAATATTACAAAATTTTATATATTACGAATTGTAATGGGAGCCAATATGATGGTAATTGGATTGCAACAAATTTAAAGTAAGGTTTGAGTTAAGGTTCACCTAAGAAATCTTCAAATATATCTTCTAGCTTTATTTAGTTGGGAAAATTAAAAATATGCACGTAACTGTAATAATAAAGTAATAGATACACACACAATAACTAAGTATTTTATATTTGTTCGACAGCAAAATTCCGGTACCTATGTATATACGAGAACTTGACTACAAAGAAGATCATAATTCATGGGTACTGATCGAATTGAAATAAATAAATACATATGCACATATGTACATAAGATTATGTAGATAAACAGAAATATTTTTCTGCTTTCGAATGCCAAAGTATTTCAGCAATAATTTTAACAACAAAAAAACTGTATTCTTTTATTAATATTGATGAGCTCTTTAAATAATTATATATACATATAAATACATATGTACATAAGTTATGAATAAGAATAAAATGATACTCATGCCCTCATTTTTAAAAACATCGTCACTATTCACCATTCAACAACCGTGATCCATTGTATCCATCTTTGGTATCTATATAGTTAATTTTGAAAAGTTGAAAGGAGAAAAAGCATCACCGAACTGAGATCTCCATGTGCAGTACATACACGGAAACTATGTGAAATGAAAGAAGACAAAACGTATTTAAATAAAAAAATATAAAAATTCAAAACTTAAACATCTCACCCGTATACTGAAATAACAAAGTAGTTAATTGTTGAAATTGAAGGTATGAAGACACACACATACAATATACAAACTTGTGTATTAAAATTATTGCTTGTTGAACTTGGTTTCAAATCGTAGCAGAGTGTATATCGTGCGGTATACTATAATACGAATTCGCAGACAATTCTTAAAATTAAAAAAAAATAAAAAAGAATACAACTTCAATTTCATCTTCTCAAGCGTGTATTGGTTATACAAGCATCTTTATAAAATACAATAATTTATTTATGAAATTGTAAGTAAACTGGTATACAATAAAATTTCTTTTAAGTTCACTGCACTATTCAATACAACCATAAAATAAATTTAGTTATTACAAATTTTGTATAACTACAAAATACTTGATTATACTTGTATAAGAAATTCTTTTATATACTTATAAATTAAAATTTATGCTCTTCCAAGAAGAAAAAGTGCTGCCATTGTTTTAAATAGAATCAATTTATGAATTACAAGAATTTTTAAGGAAATTGCTAGATCTTTCATAAATATTTTCTTTTTATTTACAGTTCCTTTAACATCTAGTCTTCACCGTCATAATAATATTAAAACTGAAGATAATTCACCAATTGACAACGCACACAATAATAGCAGCAATGATAATGAATTTATATTTAAATGTCCCCAATGTCATCAGAGATTATCTGGATTTCAGGTAATTAACTAAAAAAATTTGAATCTTCTTAAATCGACCATTAATTTTGATTACTAATTATTATTTATTCAAACTAAATTTACACTTACCTAAGTAACAACTCGTTAAATCTTAAAAATTTAAGCGAAGAATTCGAATATGGGAAGGTTTCCTTCTTTTCGAAAATTCAAATTTCTATTGAATCCTGAAACTATTACTGGGATTTTCTCATTATTGTGAATAAATTAATTCATAAATCAATAATTTCCATTATTTAAATGGATTTCTTTAATTTTATAAAATTCTAATCATTATTATTTTATCAAATCTAATATTATTATTAAGTATGTAGGTATATATAAAAAATTTTTTTATATGAAAATTATTTTAACTGATTTTTAACTTTTTTTAAGGCTTTACGCGACCATTTAGAAATTGAACATCCACATGATAAACAAAATTTTCATCATTTACTACAACCACCCAGTTTTTTACAACATTTAGGAAATTATACAAATTCAACGTTACATAATAACAACAACAGCAATAATAATCATAATTTATATAACAATCATCATCATCATCATCATTCGCAACTAAATGGTATTGGTACAAGGGATTTAACAACAGATAATCACCATCTTCATCATCCTCATCATCATTCTAGAATAGATAATCTTAGCAATAATAACAATAATAATACAAAAAACAATAATAGCAATAGCTCAACGATGATACCACCAATTGGCACACCATCTCCGCCAATTTCGACAACACCAACTCAACATCAACAGCAACAACAACAGCAAACAAATCAACAAACGGCAATTAATAACAGCCTTAGTAATTTAAATGATCTCACAGCACATTCGACAGGAACGGCAGCAATGCATTCATCACAACATTCAAATCATCATTATTCACAGTTTACAAAACAACAACATCATGCAATGGCGATGGCATTGGCTGCAGCGGCAGCGTCTACACGTCATAGTCAGCAACAACAGCATCAACAACATTCACCACCAAATTCACTATCATCATTAAATGGAATTAATGGTTATGATGAAAATAATGGTGGTAGATCAACTTCAAGTCCTGGTTCATCAACAACACTTGGCGACTTATGTGGTTCTATAAACACAGGAGGACCACATGCATGTAATCAATGTTCGGTTTCTTTTCCAACCAGAGAAATGCTTGAAAAGCATGAAGTCATACATTCGCCCAACGCACAAGTGGTAAGTAAAGTATTCATTTTAAATAATTTTTTTTTTCAAAGCACTTGAATTATTAATAACGAAGGATAAAGATCGAATAAGTCATACAATAAGTTATTTGTGTAAATAATCAGATTTGTTCATGACTCGTTTTTAACAACTAAATATCGTCAATATTAAATAACTTATTCAAATAATTCAAAGTATTCAAATTGACATAGTGGCGTACAATTTACATCGTTAATTTTTTGAGCTTTTTCACTGGGTACTATGTTAAAGCGAGAGGAATTTCATAATAACCCAAAAATTTCAAAGGCATAATTAATAAAAATAATAATTAGCATGGCCTACAGAAAACCGAATACAAATTTGTCTCGTCTCATTTGTTAGTAGAAATTTCCAACCCATCGTAAAGAAACGAAGTAATAAAAATAAAATTATAATAGTATTTTTCTGTTTTCTGTTAAATTAAGTAGAAAATTTCAGAAACTGACGTGGATATAAAATTTTCAAGCTATTAATATAATATTTTATATTTGTGGAAATAATTTCCGTACGTGGTTGTTAGGAAAAACAAAATTAAATTAGAAAATTACGTATGTACATTCTAGCAAACAAATTTGTCTGGAAATTATTGTTATATTTATATAGTTGGCCGGAACTGTTCTGTAGACGGAAATGTTGTACAGGAAATTTATTTTGTTTTGTGTTTAAATTATTACGCACTATGTAACTTTATAGTGTTATGAATTAATATTATCCACTATAACTCTACAATAGCAACACCTATCTGCTCCCTACTCATATCCAAAATGAAAAAAATTTTACCTGTGAAACCTTTTGAAAGGTTAATTTCTATATTCTTCAACATTCCAAATTCTATTCTTCTACAGAGTTGTTATTGATCACAAAAAGAATGTACTCAAAAGCCAATTTCATTTAATTTTTTCCTTTTCCTTTAACATATTGACATTATATTTAGCAACGCTTCAGTTCCCTTTGACTTTTAGAATATTTACTTTTTTTATTTTTTTCTATTTATACACACCACATTCATATGCGTTGTAATTATTGTGTTAGATTATAAATCTAATAAAGCTCATTGGAAGAATTCAATTGTTTTAATACTTTTAAAAACTTGCAATTATTTTTTGAAAGCATGTAAAATAGACTGAGTGTATATATACATAAGTATATTCAAAACAACCGTTGCTTTCTCGGCCTTAATCTCTACTTTGACTTTGCGTTGCAGAACTAAGTAAAGATTCTACAAGCTGTTGTAGTTTAAAAAGATTTAACGGACACAATTGGCTAATATTTTAAAGATTTGTTGTAAATTATATTTGATTTTTTACCATTTATACCGTTTATACTTTGTTATAACGGAAAAGGGAAGTGGTCCTACTGCAAATATTATTAAATAATCTTAACGGCCTAAGTAATTAAACAATAGCAAAAAAAACAGAGTGCAATAATTGTGCAATAAATCAATGCACAAATTAAAAAAAAATTGCATAAAAAATACAAAATATTTACTTTGAATGTTTTTGCTTAAAGAAAACCAACATGAATAAAATGAATGATTATATTTAAAACAAAATAATGTTAAGCATATGAAACGGAATTACCATATAGATTAGGTGAATTTTCATGGTTAAAATTGACATAGAAATTGCTATTTAAAGTGTGTAATTTTGTAATTTCTTAAGAAAACCAAAAAAAAATAAAAAAATAAATGCGATAAACAAAAATAAAAAATTACACGAAATTTTTTAAAAATAGAAGGCTATGAATAGGAAGAAATAAAAATATGGACAGAAGCGGACAAGCTGACTAGTAAATGATTGCAACCATTGCCTTATTGTTCTTTTCTTATTTGTTTTGATTCTTCGTTTCTATTACTAAACTTTTAGCTGAGACTACGAAAGAAAATTTATAAGAATATTGTTGTTTTCATACCCGCACGAACGTGGATTCGAAGCGCATTAAAATTTTGCCTCAACGTTTGTAACGCTAAGAAATAATGGTCTAAGTTACAAATATAAGTGTATGTTTTTGATCAGCGTCGAATTCTGAATCGCCCGTACGTCCGTCCCACCAAATTTTCGCAAACTAGTTATAATAGTAAATTGCAGTGCTTGGGGTAGTTGCTCTATAACTTCAAAATACAGCGTAACTCAAGTCATAGTATGTTCTTTAGTCAGCTGTAGTATATTTGCTCACCCATAGGGGAACAAATTTTTATGGTTATCTCACAGTTGGCCTGATCAACTCCATTTTTTTTTTCGTTTATTTTATTTTCACGTTGAAAATTGAGTAAAATATTTTTTACTTTTTTCATTATTTTTTTTTTAATTATAGTAAATACGGTTTTCACCGATAAATACTGTTCCAATGAGTCATCGCAAATTATTTAAATTTTGTAAAAAAAAACAAAAAAATTACTTCTGGTGCTTCACATTTTTCATTTTGAATTTTCTCAATTCTTCATTGATTAATTGGATCTGTCAGGCGACGATTTTTTCCTTATTTTCTTCTCACTTTCACTTTCTAAAAATAGTTTATAAAATTAATTTAATCAAAAGGTAAAAAAAAATAAAAAATTATTTTCCTTATACAAAATAACAAAAATTTGAAATTTGTTTATTTTAAATTAAAACGATTAATTTAATTTTCAAAGAATGCATTAAAATAAAATTTAAAAATTTTTTTTAGTTTTTTTTATTATATTTTTGTTATAAATTAATTTAGAATGAAGGAAAAACCATAATTTTATTTTGATAGCCATGTTTTTTAAAAAAAAATCCATAAACACTTTCGATTACAGTGACATTTCAATAGTACCAGATTTACTTATAAGAGTTAACATTGGTGAGTCTAGGGAAAAGACACTTCAACATACTCGTACGAATATGAAGCACGTTGCTTGCGAATAAGTAAAATGGTGAACTCCTTATTAAGAAAATGTAAAAAACTAAGCGTGTACACTTTTACTCGTGAGATATAAAACAAGTTAATCCGACCCTGTACTGAAATAAAGAGTTTATTTGGATCTATTCGGTCATCATAATTTTATCAGAATTCTTTTAAAAAAAATTCATATAGGAACTTAATAACAGTCTCATGTAATAAAACTTTATTTACTTTATAAATTAAATTTGAGGTTTTAACACGGACAAACAACAAATATAAATTGTGAATATTCGCTAAACATGTGTTAACTTCCACCAAAATATATGATCTTTTAATTTACTATACACTTTTATAGCCGGGAATTAAAAATTTCAAAAGTGGTTTATTGGCGACTTTATTTTCTCCTAAACGTGTATTAATTGTTTTTCCGTTTGTTTATACCCTGCACTTCGTGAAGGGTATATTAACTTTGGTATGGAGTTTGTAACTACTTGAAGGAGTCATCTGCGGTATGGACATATATATATATTCTTGCTCAGCGTAAAATTCTGCGTTGATTTAGACATGTCCGTCCGTCCGTCCGTCCGTCCGTCCGTCCGTCCGTCCGTCCGATCGCACGATAACTCAAAAACGAATAATGCAATCGACACCAAACTTTCACAAGTTTTTTCTTTTGTGCCAAGGACGAACCCTATTGTTATTGGTCTAAGTCGGACAACGGGTTCGGGTAGCTGCCATACAACTCCAAAAGTTTATTTTAAATATTTCAAAAACTAATAAAGCTATAAATATAAAATTTTGTATACGTGTGTCCAATTATATTCTACACATGCTCTAAAAATTATAATGGGATAGCTGCACCGGTTCGGGTGGCTGCCATACAACTCCAACAGCAAATTTTTTATATTCGGCAAAATAATAAAGTCAGATTCATGAAACTTGGCAGTCATGTGTCCAATTATAGGTCAAATATATTTCAGAAGTTTTAGAGGAATTTCTTGACAGGTTCGGGTACCTGCCATACAACTCCAGAAGCTAATTTTAAATATTTGGAAAAATAATAAAGTCAAATTCATGAGACTTGGCAGTCGTGTGTCCAATTATAGGTCAGACATATTTCTAAAGTTTTGGTTAGATTGCTTGACAGGTTCGAGTAGTTCCCATACAAGTCTAAAAGCTTATTCTTAATATTTGGAAAAATAATAAAGTCAAATTCATGAGACTTTTCAGTCGTGTGTCCAATTATAGGTCAGACATATTTCTAAAGTTTTGGTGGGATTGCTTGACAGGTTCGAGTAGCTCCCATACAAGTCTAAAAGCTTATTCTTAATATTTGGAAAAATAATAAAGTCAGATTCATGAAACTTGGCAGTTGTGTGTCCGATTATAAATTAGATATATTTGTGAAGTTTTGATGGAATTGCTTGACTGGTTCAGGTACTTGCCATACAACTCCAAAAGCTTATTTTACATATTTGGAAAAATAATAAAGTCAGATTCATGAAACTTGGCAGTTGTGTGTCCGATTATAGATCAGATATATTTGTGAAGTTTTAGTGGAATTGCTTGACAGGTTCGGGTACTTGCCATACAACTCCAAAAGCTTATTTTATATATTTGGAAAAATAATATAGTCAGATTCATGAAACTTGGCAGTCGGATGTCCAACTATAGCTCAGACGTGTCCGTGAAGTTTCTATAGAATGATTTCACAGGTACGAGTAATTGCTACACAATAACGAAAGGTGCAGGGTATAATTCAATCGGTTTATACCGACTGAAACGTTTTTACTTGTTTTTAGTTTACGTATTGTTCAATACGCCCTCCATTACATGCATATAACGAAAAAAAAAATATTTAAGTTTATTTAAAAAATTGTGGTGATGACAAAAGCCATGTGACGTTATAGTAATAAGACTATTACGGAAGAAAAAAAATTTTTTTGGTAGAACAATAAACAATCAAGTGAAATAAAAAGAGCAAAAATTAAAGTAAAAACTTCGGAAAAATATTAAATTTTGATAAAAAACAAATTGACAAAATCCGTGTGACTTTGCAATTTTTTTCTACATTGAAAATTTACTGCATCATTGAATTAAAAATCGAA